TGCACACGTGTGCACGTGCCCATGCACAAACGTGAACGCAGGCACGCTCTGCTCCCGCGAGCCTCCGCGTGGTAGCCTCCCGTCCCCTAGGCCCTCCACTGGGAGCAGGAGACAAACGCTTCCTTGGCACTTTCCTCCTTGTTTGTTACACAATTTGCCACTGAAACCTCACTTCCGCCCTGAAAGTTCTGGAAAGCAAAGGAACCAGCGGCGGTGCTCATTAAACATGCCCTGCCTGTGCAGAGTGGCTCGGCCTGACCCGCTGCCCCTCGGGGGCCCAGCTGCTCCAGGCGAGATGCAGGTGACGGATGAAACCTCAAAAGAGATGCACGCGGAGACAGATTCTTATTTATGTATCTGAGAAATATATAACTTTAATAACGCCGGGGATGGATTCACCAGCGGGAGCAGAGGTAAGTCAGAGATCTATGCTTTTTAATATCAACTTCCTCTCGAGGAAGGATTTCCTCACATTAATAGCTAAATCATCCTGAAACAAAACAGCAGAAATGAGACAATTAGCGCGACCGGTGTCAGGCGTGAAGGATGGCGCTCGGGCAGCCCCACGCCAGCCAGATGGATATCTTCAATATCCCTCCCATTATCTGCCGCTGGTGATGAGCCCAATTAAACAGAGCCAGCGAGGCACAGGCTCTCGGAGTTGCCGGAAAGGAAATTAATTACGTTACCCCATTTAATGAAGTCAAAGAGTTGTTTCCCCGTGCCTGGTTGGCTGGGCTTGTTTATTGTGATTGGTAAGTACTCATTAGGAAATAACGCATCGATTTCCTGCTACCATCAAGGGTCCCCCCTGAAGAGTTTGAACATCAAAGGAGTGAGGTGGGGTCTGCGGGCGGCGGAATCCGGCCCCTGCACGGGCTGTCTGACGTACTGAGGGGTGAGCTGAGGTTTCCTCGCTAATCGAGATGTTAGACACAAAAGCCACTCAGAAATGTCTTACCTGGGGTCAAGCCTCCATTCTGGAATTGTCTTTGAAACATTTTCCCATGGGCCTGAACCCTGTTCCCTCTTTCTGTGAATATGTGTAGAGTCGGTCCGTGTCTGCTGCGCTGCATTATACATACAAACGCTTTCGTTAGCCCTGCCCAGGAGGGAGCGCAGTGCTCACGGCTCGCACAGTGCTCACTCAGGAAGTGCCGGGTGAGTAAGACAAAAGAAACTCTCCTGGCACTCGAAGCCTTTTCTCGTTGCTTTGGGCCACGCGAGCAGCGGAAGAAGCAGGAGGAGGGCCGGTCGCAGCCTCGCCCCTGCACTGTCTCCTGACCCAGCTAAAGTCTCTACAACGTCGCCCAGCTCCTCTTCACTGCAAATACGTGGGCACGGGTTAGGAGGTTACAGGACAGTCCTAGAGCTTCATACATGTCTGGGTGGAATCCCAGCGCATGACCGGGATGGAATGATCCGGAGTGCACTATTCTGGCCCTGCGTGGGCGCTGTGGTTCTTTACGAACAGTTTTGAATGGATGCCTCCCTGTGTCCATGAAAACTGTCAGCACCCCTGTGTGTCTACACTGCAGGTCTCAGCTCCCCTGTGTGTGTCTACACTGCATCTCAGCACTTCTGTGTGTGTCTACGTAAGGAGGGAAGGAAGGGAGGGAGGGAGGAGGGAAGTTAAGGAAGTAAGAAAGGAGAGAGAAAGAAAGAGAAAGAGAGATAAAGGAAGGGAAAAAAGTAAGGAAGGAAGAAAGAAAGAGAAAGAAAGAGGAAAGAAGAAGGAAAAAGAGAAATAAATTAGGAAGAGATTCCCCACAAGAAACCCAGGACAGGAACAGACGCTCTCCTGACCCGGCCTAGAGGGTCGCTGTTTCCTTCACTGTTGCTAAGCAGAGACTTTCAATCTCAGACTGAGGGTCACTGTGTCAGCGTCAGATGCCGCTGGGCAGCAGTGAGCCGATAGACGGTACCTGAAGGCTCGCCCGGGATTGGGGCCAGGGGCCGGGAGGGGGCCGTCCTGGGCTTTGGACCTTCCCACAGGTACGGGACCAGAAGCAGGTTTCCCAGGCGGGTGGTAATGAGACCCCCACGGTCTGTCACTTCCCTGCACTGGGCTGTAGGGTCTCGGGGGACACTTCCACGACACCAAGGCCAGCGTGCATGGACACGACGGCCTCAAAACCCAGGCCAGAAGGAAGCCACTGCCCCCACCCCCCACCCCTCACACGGCCCTGAGCCTGCCAGGAAGCCCCCGAGAACTGGCTGTGGCCTGGCTCCCCCCAACACAAACACCAGACAGGACAGAACAGGGAACAGCCAGCGGGGTGACAACTGACCCTGCGGGTCCAGAAACCGCGCCTCGTGGCAGTGAGGCCCTGTGAAGCGAGTGGGGTGTCAAGGGCGGGAAACTGAAGCCCCCCGTGCCTGGACGGGCCCGCAGCTGCCGTGCCTTCCTCCAGCATGCCCAGTGCCCCCAGCTCCCTCTTGGGTCACGTCTTCTCGCAAGCCCAGAAGCTTCACGCGTTTCCCAAGGGACCCAGCGACGCCTTGGGGGTAGCAAGGATGCAGGAGGCCGGGTGGGTCTAAGCGAATCCAGGATGAAGGACACAGCATCAGGGAAGCCTTCCCGCGTTAGCACAGGCCGTTCCAACCTCAGGGGACAGAAGTCATGCCGCGGGCGTTCACACCCACTGCAACAGCCCCGAAAATGAGCAGATGAGGGGAGACCACGAGACCCCCCTGGCCGGGCTCCCTGGCGGGGGGCCCTGACCTGCCTCTCTGTGGCCCAGGAGCCGTGTGGCGGTGGCCCTCCCCACTCCCTCAGGAGCCCGTGTGCTCAGAGTCGAGAGTGTCCTGGAAACGAGCTGCTCTGTGGGTCACACTGACGGACACTCGAAACCTGGGGGTTGGGTTTCGGTCACTTTAGGTGCTCAGTGCCTGCGCCGGCTCTGTTCCGCAGTGCTCGGGGTGCAGGCGTCAAGCCCGCATGAGCCGCACGCGAGGCCAGGGCCTCCCCGCCGTGCCAGCCCTGCTGCGCCTGCCCCTGGCTCTGAGGCACGCACGTTCACAGCCGCTCTCTGCCCAACTTCTCAGCCACCTCTATGCTCCTTCCTGCCAGCGCCTGGTTCCCACGATGGGATTTTCTCGTGATAAAACAACCGCTAATTTCCCAAGCGCCAGCACAGGTCAGCACCAAACACTGAGGAAGGGTCTTCTCCATCACAGCACCCTGAGGCAAAGCCCCGCCCCCCACAAGGCAGACACCAGCCCGAGGTCCCGAGCCAGCCACTGGGCGGCAGGTCAGGGACCCGGATCCCTACTCAAGCTCTGCACCCAGCTGTAGGAGCGAAACTGACACCAGGCCAGGGGCAGAAACAGAAAAATCAGCTGGGCCCCAGGTTCAGTTCCTGGAACTGGAACTGTTTCAGTTTCCCAGCAATGAAACAATGTGTCACTGGGCAACCTGAAGCCACCTGGAAAGTTCCTGGCCCAGCAAGTGGGCTCAATCACTCACCATGTGCCAGAAACCACAGAGAATGTAACCACGAACTGTTACTGGAAACTATTGTTTAACCATTGCCTGACCACTGTTACCTTAGCCCTTGCTTAACTTTGAAACTTTGAACCCTAGAGAAACCGCTTGTGATCTGGAGTCGGGGTCCTCGTCAAGACTCCACTGTGTTGGATGAGACTCGGACCCTAGCTCAAGCTAGCAATAAGGTTCCTTTGCTCTCGCATTATCGTGTGTGACAGGGTCTCTCCACAAGTGGGGATCTGAAACTCAGGCAGTCAGAGCCCAGGGTCGTCATCCCTCCATCTCCTCCACCAGCAAATCACACGCTTCGGATCCCGGCTCTGCCCTGGCCACCTGGACAGCTGCGGGCTGGCCACTTGCTTCCCTTCCCCCTCTGAGTCAGCCCTGCAGCTAGAACAGTGCTGAGACGTGCGGGGACTCCTCTCCCTCACGGGGCAACGGAATGAGCCCGGGCAGCCGTCTGCGCCCTCGTCTAGCAGGCTGACCACTTGGCACATGTCCCAGCAGGCTGGCCGCCTCTTGCGTGGCCCATTTTTGACCTGTGGGCCAGGCTGGGGATTTCCCGGCTGCAGCCAGCTCCGAGCTCTGTCCGTGAGGGCATCTGAGCCTCCGGGCATCAGACTCAAGGAAGAAACTGTTGGCACCTAGATTTTTGCCTTCGGTTATTTTTCTTACAGTGGGAGTTACATGTGGCCCAGCTTGAAATCATATGGCACAACCCACCTGCCCCCTCCACCCGACCAACAGGAAAAAACAGGTGGAAAATCTCCCTGGGGCCACGGAAGCCCCCCCCAGGTAGAGGCCGAGTCCCAGCATTTCTGCCTTGTTTACATCTCATGTCCCCGAGAAAGCCTTTAGCTTAGGTCACTGCCAAGACCCCACTGCCGCCCAGATTCCAAGATTCAGCCGAAGAGTGGATGGAGAATCTCCCCGTCACCATCGTCCCAGCCGCCTCTAGCCCGCGCTGCGCCAGTCCCCTCGTGCCCCGTGCTGGGGGCTCATTAAGCTGCAAGAACGACAATACAGCAGGTGCGGGCCCAGGAGCCTTATCTCCTGAGTGCCAGGGCTGCTCGGACCCTTTGTGGGGTAATAATCCCGCGCCCGAGTCAGACTCACACGCGGCTCTCTTACAAATCACCTATGTCATTGTTTAAGCAACGCGCGCTAAAAATAGCCCTGGAGTCGTGGGTTTTTTAATCTGTGAGCACAGTGTTCTCGGACATGAATTCCAAATCTAGAGGGACTTGAAAGAAATTTAATTAAAGGACTGAAGATAACATTAGTTATAATACTCTAATAGACACAATGGCTGTAATTCTTAAAATTGCATTGGACGATTCTGAAACAAGATAGCCTTTCAGCCCTATTCATCACCAGCCGTGCTCGAAGGATCGTTAATCATCTCATTGGCCGTGATGAATTAATTTAGCAACACGGTGATGGACGCACCTCCTACTGGAGTGAGTGAGGGGCAGGCGGGCCCCGAGGAGGGCTCGGGGTCAGCCGTTACCTTTTACCACCAAGTTCCCGGTACTGCTGGCACTGCCGAACTGGTTCGTGGCGACACAGGTGTAGCTGCCGGCATCCGACTTGGTCACGTTCCTGATTCGGAGGCTTCCGTCTTCAGAAAGGGTCACTCTGAAATCAAAGAGAAGCCAAACTGGTCAGTTGGCCTCACACCAGCAATCGCAGTTATTTCTGTCATTGTTGTCTTTCCGGTGCTAAAGGACAGCCAGCCTGGTCTTTCGGGAGATTGTGGACGCTCACAACTCCCTGTATGGCCTGGGAGGCTGGTCAGTTATCAGCAAAGGGGGGACCCCGGGACTAGGAGGGAGGCTGGATGAGTCCTGCCCTTCCCTGCGCTGCCGCCCAACCCCCAAAGACGGGGGGTGGGGGGGTCCTGCCAGCATGGAGATCTGTGAAACGCTCCTGATGGGTCCCTCGTGCACTTCCGTTGCAAGGGTTTGGTTCCTACAGAGAGCCGGCACACTCTGCTCCTGGAATGTTCCAGCCCACACACTTCCCATGGGATGGAAAGACTGAGTTTAGGAATGGCCAGAGATTTCCCGCCTGGTGTGACTCGTGGACCCGCAGTCAGGGCCTGTTTCAGTGGTCAGCTGCCTTTGTGGGGGCCGGAAGGAGCCAGGCACTCCCACCGAGGCTGGGCTTGTACAGGCAAGGCTGGGATGCCCCTCCCATGAGCCTTTGCGCCTGCCACCTGCCCCCCCCCCCCCGTCCCCAGCCCCCGACCTCAGGTGGCCGCCGGCCTGCTCTGTCCTCTTCTGGGGTGAGGACACCACCAGCTGCGGTTCTAGATATTTCCTGCCCCCTCCCCCCGCCCCCGCACGCATGAGGAACACCTTTGACTTTATTTTTCTTGTAGTTGAGGTGACCCGGTGCAACTGTGTGATCGCTCATGGTGTGAGCCAGATCACTTGGGGTGGCCAGTCACCTCCCCTGGACACCACACTCTGCCCTGGACTCTGCTGTGGTCCTGTGTGACTTCAGTCGGCCACGTTCCGGGCCCTGAACTCAGAATCTCCAGGCTTGGGACCATTCACACTGCCCGCTCTCCCTCTGGTGTCCACCACCGACGGCGGGATCACTGCCTGTCTCCCTCTGTCCTGGTCACTGCGTACTCTGCTCCTCCTGTATGGCCCCCTACCCTCCTACCCCGGGCCCACCGGCCATTCACACCTTGTACCCCAGCCCCGGGCCCACCGGCCTTCTGCCTTGTAGGCTGAGGCACTGTCCAGCTCTGTCCTTGGGTCCCCCTGGCTGGACCTCAGGAGACAGCTGCCCCCGGGTTCTCAGGGGATGGGGCAGCATGTCATCTGTGGCATGGCCGAGAGGGAGGAGCTTCCGAGCCCGCCCAGGGCTCAGAGGTGTCAACTTGCACCAAACAGGGCCGGGGCCAACAGTACTGACAGCACAGTATAGTCGGTCCATCTAGGTGTTATTTTTTTTTTCTTTTTTAGCTCCTTAGTGCCTCCGTTCAGTTCATGGCGAATTTTCTGTTCTTTTTGTTTGGGTTTTAAATGACATTACTGGTTTGCAGAGGCCCGAGCGGCAGAAGTCTGGGAGTCCGGCAAGTCCCTGGCTTCACAGGTTGGTGCTTTGGGTAAGTGCAGCTCAGTGACCCCAGCCCAGCCCGTGCCCCCGCCCTCCCTGGGCCCCCTCAGACCAGCTCCTTAGAGTCAGAGCACTGGCTGCCCTCGGGGTATTAGAAAGCGGCCATTGGGGACGGGACAATTCTCCTCTCCCGTCTTCAGTGACTCGGCCCTGCGGAGATTTCCTCTGGGGACCGTCTTACGGTGCTCAGGCTAGACCTCTGACTGACCTGTAGCCACAGCTGCCCAGGGCACGCGGAGCACCTCCGCCTCCCAAGGGGAGTTTAGATAAAATGAATTAAAAATGTAGATCATGGCTTGGCTCAGCACTGGCCCTGGGGGCTCCATTGACCCCTGGCGGCATCCGAGAGAGTCGGAGAGCACAGAATGGCAAGGACGGAAAACGAGGGGCGACCTGGATTTCACGCCCGGTTCTGGGCAGCTGTGTCCCCATTCTGGGGGGTGCCTGGTTGGAGGGGGGCTGGGGTCTCTCTGGAGTCACGAGAATCGATCTTTCTCCAGGCACTTAGAGGAGCCGCTGGGAGCCGACCTTGTCAGTCCTGTGAAGCAAAGTCAGTCGGGGCCAGTGGGCCTTTCAGAACGCTGAGCTTGCCTTTCGGGGCTGTGGGAGAGACGCCCGAGATGCCGACGCCGCGGTTTCCCACCTGCCGGGAGGGTCACCCAGCCAGTCACCTGCGGCTTTCCTGAGCTTCTGCCCGGGTACATCCTCACAGCCTGCAACCGCAAGGAGACGCCCCAGGCAGACCCCTTCCAAAGTGCCCGGGAATGACTGCTGCCCCCTGCCAGGGTGGCGGGACAGTGCCCTGCCCACGTCTCCACCAGGCACCTGATGGTGCCCAGGCCCTGCTGTCCCCTGGAAGGGAGTGCTCTCCAACCATGCCGGTTCAGTCGTCTCTAAGGGAACGGCTCCTGCCTCCGCAGAGACGGCGAGTTCAGATCACAGTTGGAAAGAGAAAGCCTGGCAGGAGGGAGAGGCTGATATATCACAGGGAATTCAGCGCTTCCGCAGGCTCACGCCACTGCGACTCTCACGCATGGCCCACGTGGGTACTGCATGAGTGACCTCATGCATGGCCCACGCGGCTATTGCATAAAGACCTTCCCACATAGCTGACACAGGAACTGCATGAGCAACCTCACACACAGCTGACACAGGAACTGCATGAACTACTTCATGGTCCCTACAGGTACTGCATGAAGACCTTCCCACACAGCTGACACAGGAACTGTATGAGGAACCTTACCCATGGCTCACTGCAGTACTGTAGGAAGACCCCTAAAGATCCTCCCGCATCCCTCCCTCATTCCTCAGATGTGCTGGAAGAAGCCAGCCCAGGCCGGGAGAACTTACCAGTTGCCTGCTCACACAGACACAGATAAAGACACACACAAACACACACACCAGTGGACAAATGGGGCTTCTCTGGGTGGGTCCAGGGAGGACCCCAGACTAGCCTGGGGCACGTACAGAAGTGACACTGGTGAGACACTCGACTCTTTGCCATGAAGGAAGAGAGCTTGTTTGGGTTCAATCTGGCTACTTTAATAAAACCCCAAAGGAATTTCATCTGATTTTGGGTTCAGTTTGTGGGGTTCCAGGCAGCTCAGGGGTCTGGAAGCACGTGGCGTGTCTGTGAATGCAGGGCTGGAAGGTCAGCCATTGAGTGCACGAACGGAGGGTGGGGATGGTGCTCCCCCCACCCCCCCAAGCAGACACTTGCGGTCACGGGGGGGACTGGATGGGGCCAGAATGAGGAGGAACACACGCTCTCAGCTTGGAAAGCGCCCTATCCTGCCCTTGTGCACTGATGCCTCTGGTTCTGGAACCTTCTGAGTTTTTCCAAGGGGGTCTGCCCACACACCCCCTTTGTCTCCAGCCTCGGAGCACCTCCAGCTGCCCACGGAAGAGAGCGTTCTCTGCCTCCATGCGAGGGACCCGGCTGCCAGCAGAGTCTCCTCTTCCTCCTGCTGTGAGGTTTCTGGAGCATCCTGACTCATTCTGATTTTAACTGGAATTTGCTGGATCTTCATCTTCATTTTCAAAAGATATCTGTAGATTCACCACCTGGATGGGGACAGCGGATCTCCTGATTCCTAGGAAGGCAGAGCCCCAGGTGTGTGAGGCCAGGAAGAGTCCGTGGAGGATACTGCGAGATGGCTTCGCTCCGAGGGATGCTTCGGACAGCGGATTCCAGTGCAGGTGGTGGTGAGGCCCTGCATGGGGACTCTCACAGTCACTCCAGGGGCTGTCCCGCAGGCCAGGTGCTGATCTTGCCACCAGCTCAGGGACTGCTGACGGCACTGATCTCCCGCCAACAAAGGCCTTTCACCATCATTTGCTCCTGTCATAAGCTTCGGGTTGATGAAGCCACTGCTGAGCCCGGGAATGTCGTCAGGAAGTTCAGATGCTGACCCAGCCCCGCCCTGGCCCTGAGCACTGGTTCCCAGAGGAGCTTAACTCAGGTCTGCGGGGCCAGGCTGGAGCAGCCCTAGCCCTCCCCAACCACCAGCTCTCAAAGCTCCCTTAAATGCGGACGGGGGACAGTGGAGGGCTGAAAGCTCTTCATGCACGTGGCTGACCCAGCACTGTCCTGGCACTGCACAGGGACCGCCAAGCCCCACCAGGGGTGATCCTTGAGCATAGAGCCAGGGGTAAGCACTGAGCACCGCTGGGTGTGACTCCTCCCCACCCCCGCAAAGAAACCCAGAGCTCCCTCAAATGACCAGGAAGGTGCAGACGCCTGGGCACCCAGACAGAGGGGGCAATTTTAATGATTATTTGTGACCAAGGAATGGAAGGATGGGATTCTCTTCTCAGGCAGGGAGGATTTTGTATTGTTATTTTTTTCACACGGTGAAGAAGCAACACTAAAAGCTGGGGAAAAAAGACTGACTGCTGTGAAACCCGTGTCTGCAGGGTCTTCTGTTTCCCTAATACAAGGCTGAGGGTCCCTTTCTCCCTGGAACAAGGGCCTGAGTTAATTTCTGCGTAATTCTGCAAGACGTTGAAGATGAATGGGGAGCAGGCAGGTTCTAGTCTATTTTATTTTCTATACCTCTCTGCTTTTATCAAAGCATCATAATAAGTAATATTACTTTTATCATGAGAAAGAAAAAGTTATTATCAAGCTACAGGGCACCCAAGTGGTTTTATGGAGCAATTTTTAGGACTCTAGCTGGCAAAAAATGGTTTCTTAACCAAGAGCAGCTGTTTTCAGAAGTAATTGGAAAAAAAGAAGAATGGGCTAGAAATGGACCCCAGACCATGAAGACGGCTCTGAGAGGAAGATGTGCTGGGGGTGGGTGGGTGGGGGTTGGTGGTGAGGGCCACGGAAGGTTCCGGAGCGCAGAGCTCGGTGGGGTACTTGTGCATCTGATCACGTTTAACCTGCACCACAATCCCGGGAGATTTTCACTTGAGAAAAATGAAAGCCAGAGAAATGCAGGCCGTGTTCTGGGCCCAGGGGTCAGCGCCCTTCCAGACCCTGAGCCCCCGCCCCCACCCGC